CCAACAGGACTTCTGTAATCAAGGTTGTAAATATGATGGCCCTTAGGCCAGCACTTCTGTGGATGTCAGAGTTGAAATTATTCTTTTTTAACATTGAGTAAAACAATACTGTAGGAAATTAACAGATTTGCATGTTCAGCAATTTATAGAAACATTTAAGGAACAGCATATTCCAACTTCTTGAAACAGCAATAATGAAAATAATGGGAAATTACTTTTAGTCTTAAGCCAAAAAACATTCTTTTCAGCGGAGTGCAATGTTGATCCAATTGCTGCTTGGTCAGTAGCTGGGTCAGAGATGAAGTATTTGACTGAGAGCAAGGTTTATACTCCATGTGGCATCATGCTGGCTTCCATTCCCCACCCCACCTCAGGAAGTTCACTTCTCTTTGAAATCCTGCCCACCATCCATTACCATTTCCACTACAGGAGATCGTTTTTCACCCAGAAATGTAATTCCATACTGTATAGATTGCTTGCCAGTATTCAATTAGCTTTGATTTATGTGCTACTCCACACAGCTACAGTTATTACAGGCACCAACCAGTTTAGCATCATTCCCTCACTGATAAATAAAGCACAGGGTGAGAATTCCTCAGGCTCCAGACTGTATGTAATCAGGGTTCTACAAGTTGATGAGCAAACAATTTCTTTTTAAAAAACACAGAAGGATAGCTAATAAAGAAGCTTCAAGTAATTCCCACATTATCATTTTTCCCCAAAAGCTGTAGCAAAAGAAAGCTGGATTTCAACAACAGTAACACAGTTCCAGGCAGGCCTGTTCCCTGTCTTACCTCGTAGACATGTGCATTTACAAACTAAGGTACTGGGAACTGGGGATCAGAACATGCAAGACCCTTTAAAAAGTTTTCTGTGCTTTCCAAATTGTTAATATCATTCTCTTGTCTTATGGGCATCCAAAACTGCAATCCTTCCTAACCCTCCCACTCCAAACCTGCACAGACCACACAAAGGACTCAGGTATCTATGGTTCCATGTAATATGTGTGAGGGGCTGCACAGTCTCTGCGTGAAAGTCTGTGTGAACATTGGACAACACCACAGGCACCAAAATGCATATTTGATCAAATTTGCAGAATGTGAAAATACCATGAAGCATCATAAACACAAATCAGAGACAAACAACATTTAGGACATCAGACAACTTCTTGAACACAACCTCTAAAAAAAGAAAAATAAATAATTCAAATATCTAAATATCGGGGGATTAAAAGGCATTTTCCCATATTTAAGGGAAGGCATCCCAGGTGAGGAAAATAACTATCAACACAAGGTTATCACAGATCAAAAAGCAGCTTCTTCACGTAGGAGATGGTCGTGTCGTTGGAGAGCATTTCGATGTGCTCGTTCCCCGGCAGCTCGAACATCAGCACCTCCTGTTTCTGCCTGCGCAGCCAGCGGCGGCACTGCAGGGCACTCTGCAGGTTCACGGTGCCGTCCCCGTCGCTGTACAGGATCCGCGGCTCCCTGTCGGGGAAGCTCTCGTAGTGGAAGGAGTCGGGGGTGTCCACGCCGGTGCCGTACAGGCAGTGGATGCGCACGCCCGGCGGGGCCATGTGGAACAGCAGCGGCTCCGTGTCCTGCCGCATCAGCCAGCCGTCCTCGAAGCCGATGTCGCGGTAGAACCGCCCGTAATCCCGCAGAGTGTAGTTGGCCGTAGGGGTGCTCACGAACACCTTGTCTGGAGGCCACGTGTAGTTGTAGGGGAGCATCCAGTTTGTGGAAACTGCCGATCTCTGCTGGTCTCTGATCTTGAGTGAACTGATAACGGGTATCCTGTTGTTGTCACCTTAGAAAAAACAGTGGAATTCCATTATACATAAAGCGAAGCATAAACCTCAATCGGCAGCAATTACTAGCACTCAGCACTAACACAGATAAAAAGTTTGGTCCCTTTGCTTACAGTGACAACTTGAAAAGTTTTTCCTTCTTTATGATGACCTTCATAATTAATTTCTGTAAACTAACCTCTAAAAACTTACCAATATAAATAAAAGTTGATGAAAAACTAAACCAAGAACACTGCTGCCCTTCCAATATGCTCCTTTGTAAAGAATGAAATATTTCCTGCGTGGGCCAAGTAAGAAATCAGATTTTATCAGGCATTATTTAGACTGTTGGCAGGTTTTATCTTAAACGCTTTCCTGGAAATGTGTTTTACGGTGTTTCTGGTACCTAGAGCATGTTTCTGCTTCAAGAATAAGCAAATACTAATGTCCACACACTTGTGGGAACTCATGAAGAAACTTTATAGATTTAATGAAATGTTTAAAGTTTTCTACATTGAAAACAAGCAGAGTAACAATATTTCATACAGGATAGCTATAAATTGTTTATTTACCATTTGGCACAGCATTTTACCAGTTTATGCACATCTTTCATAACAAAATGTACAATGGAAAGAAAGTGGCAGATTCTTAGTAATGGCCTAAAAAGATAACTGTCATAAAAGGAAACAGAAGCAACTGTTACTGTCTCTGCTTATGCCATCAGGTAAGAGTGCTGCCCTCAGTGACCGGTTCACTCTCAGCATAGCACTTCAACAGAAGAGCTAAAGCCTGTTAACTTCTGGTGGGAACCAGGAAAAATTGCCAGTATCAGCATCTCCCCTTCCAGTCAGCATGTAAAGACTGCTAAAGCACTTGCACTTCTCAGAACACAGGTTCTCTCTAATGTGGCACTAATATTTCGTAGCTGGTTACTCTGGTAACATAAACTACATCTTTGCCAGAGGGGGGCAGATAAAACCACAACTCTTCAAAAAACAGTTGATAATGACTATACCTGGTAAATGTTTTCAGCTGGCCAAGCTTTTACAAGGCATTACATTTTTATATAATGTTAATCTGGAGAGCTAGATCTTAGTTCATTATCAATAAAGGTATTAAGTTATCTGATATCAAAAAAACCACAAATTTGCTATCTTTTTACCAAATTTAGATTCACTCTTATTACAGAGCTACTGTCTGACCAAAGCATTCTTGAATTTTGTAGAGATCAAGACAACTGTTTTCTTAGCAGTTCATTCCAAAGATGGCTCAAACTAACACATGATTAAGTTATAATTTATATATATCTTTCTTCATGTTTTAACAGCTGTTCTTGCATCATCACAAAACTAAGTGGATGATATAGTGATGACTAGAAACAATTTATTTTTATTTAAACACCACTCCCCCAAAAAACCAGACCAACAAACAAAAAAAACCCAAAAAACAACAACAACCAAACCAAGTCAAACCAAAAAAAAAAAAAATTAAAAAAAATAAGCTTAGACAGACCGAAGTTTGTTTTTCTTGTTTTCACCATCACCCTGGCTGGCACACCTCAATTCCTTTGTCAGCTGAACTTTGAATCAGATTATCCATTATTAGGTCCAGGGGGTTACAGCATGTAATGGTCCAGGTCAACCATGCTATAAAAATTGAAGTGCTGAAACCAAAACCACTATTCCTGAAAAATACACTCTGGTGCTATTTCAATTCCATAAGGTGGCACTAGTGCTTCAGCAAGGAGACATAAAGCAGAATCTTTAATGCATCTTCAGGAGTACATGGAGACATTGTTGGTATAAGTCTGAAACAGATAAAGGAAACTCCAAAGAGCACAGCAAGAATCACCAAGGTCCCAAAAAATCTGTCTCATAGTACTGTGTGGTAGCAGTACTTAACTGTGCACTCCCACCACCAAGCTACTGGATACTGCTTGGCAGTTCTCAGCAAAGAAAGCCCGAGTTTGAACTGAACAATAAGAGGACTGTGCACAAAATTTATTTCCAGTCGAATAATCAAACACAGAACTTGACTATTCCAGCCTTCTCTTACAGAACTGGTACAAAGTGCTTATCAAGTACTTTTCTCTGAAGTGAGGCCCTACCATGTGGCCAAGACCACATTTAATTAAGTCAGCAGGCACAACACTCACATTATAGTGAACAAAATATTAGGTCTAAGGAAGACACTGCTCGTATTTCAACCTGACAAAAAAACAGAACCAAGCCACCACAGCGAACTTTGTGCCTTTGCCTGCTGTAGGAGGAACATCCTCACTTTAATGGCACTGCAACTGTAATGATGCAAGTATTGAGCCTGCAAAGCACATGAATAAGTAGCTGAAAGTATCACAGAAAATCTACTGAAAATAATTCCACCGTGTCCTGTTTACCACTTTGATAACACAACTGGATGTGACATGAAGTTCCTGGCCACTACATGTTATAAACAGGAATGGGAGCAGAAAGAATGCATTCATAGCATGCCTTGTCTTTCCTGAAGAAATGCAGTACATTTCTTTAAAGCAACAATTCTCCTACATACTAACCCTGGTAATCTCAGAAACTCTTTAATAGACTAATGTAATCCAAGTGTTGATGCCTGATGGTGGTGCCTTACTTATAGGTATTTGAGATAGGACTAGCCTAAAACTGCACTCTGAGATTAGGTACTGCCCATTTAACTTTCCTACATGATTCTTAAATTTCCACTCAAAAAACATGGACTTCAGTACAACAGACATACAGATGAGAATATGACTACATTTCAGTAGAAATTTAACTATTCATTAAGCATTTGTATAACTAGCCATTTTGGATGAAATGCATTATAAAGGATAAACAAGGTACAAAGCACAAAAGTTTAATCCAACAGAAATCAAGGACTCTGGAATTTTATATAATCACGTATAATTTTATACAGCTAATACCAACATTGCTTACTTCCTGCCATTTCTGTAGCATGCAAACATGTCAGATGAAGCCTGTGGGAAAAGGGAAATCAATTCTTACAGTGCCATTGCAACACATTTAACAATGTGTAAATTGGATGTTTGTATTGAGTTAAGTTTTCTAATTAGTTACAGAGTAGTGCACTACTGTTCAGACTCAAATGCCTCTGCTAAGCAAAGTATTCTTTGCTCTGTCCAAGCAAGGCTGACACTTGCTGTGTGTTTTGCATTTCAATGAAGTCCAATTTTTCATGTCAGCTTTGATTAGGAAGAAGATAGTGATATCCAAAGCTAACAAGTCAGAAGTAAGCTACAAAACCAAACCAGAATCATCAAGAACTAAGCGCCAAAGCACATGACATCATTATGGTATCACACGATGGGGTAAGTGAACATTTTCCATCAGTCATTTGCAGTTAATTAGTGTAGTACGTTATGCTTCTTTATTCAGTTTTTTTTTAGTCTCAAGCATATCCAGTGTGCTAAATCTCAGACCTCAGTCAGCAGTGTTACAAATTTCACCTGCCATTTACACTGTAGGCACCACTTCACTGCCATGTCTACAAGTTTCCCTTAATGTTAACCTCAGGCAGCTGTGATCCTGAATCAAAGGAAACTCTGGAACGCTCTGGAGCCCCTGTTAGCTTTGCAATCCTGAACAGAGCAATCAGGCTGGAGGCAGAAGTGACAGAAATAGAAAGCATGAGGCCAAACAGCAGATGACAGAACAATCTGCAGAAAAGAGGTCAGGAGGGGTCAAGGGGGGACATAGCTCCTGGTTACAGGATGGGGATAAATTCGGTCCACTCCCACAGATAGGAAGAATGACAGTCTGGTCTCAAGGCTTGACACAGCAAGTTGTCATCACTTATGAAAAATATTTTTACCTTTGTAGTACCTTAACCTCTCCTCCTCCAGTCTCAGAGTTCCCAGGCTAGTTCAGTATCATGCACTGTGCACCAAAGGCAGTGCCAACCCCAGGTACCCACCTGAGGCCAGCACACGGAGAGTTTTAGCCACCCCTCCCCAGGGAGCGCCCAGTGACACATAATCCTTGATGTACTTGTCCTTCCAATCCTGAGTCTGCTGGTTGAGGAAGTACAGGGTGTACATATTACCCATACTGTGGGCAATTAAGACAACAGGACTTCCATACTGCTCATACATTAACTCGATCATCTTGCGAAGTGCCACAAAGTAGTCTCCATTCTCATCTAAAACATACAGATTACACAGTTAGAATTATTAATTGTGAATGCTAAACTTTAAAACCATAAGCTTTTAAATAATTGCGTTAAACTGTCTATGGAATTAATATTACAGAGCTTATAAATTCCAATATTAAGTGGGAGGAGGGTGGGGTTTGTGGGCACGTGCTTTGGTAGTGTGGGGGGTTTCTGTTGTTTTGCTCTGTTTTTAAGGAAGTTTTAAGTGGTGAGTCGTTTAAAGAGGAAAAAAAAAAGAAACCACAACAATGAGCTCACATCTGGGTCCTGGAGTGCCCAGGCCTCAAGAACCAGTCAAAATTAAGTACGATTGTACAGGATGGGAGAAGAGACTCAAAACATAGGTGCTGGCTAGGAGAGGCAAAGTTTTGTTCAAGTAACAGTATGTTATTTACTTGGTGCCTTTCGCCAGTCATAAGGTGCTCCTCTTACATCTTCATCACGTTTGTAGCCCCAGTCTACTAAACTCTGCACCAGCATATAAAAGTAACTTCCTGTAGACAACAGATAAGAGAAAAACAGAACAGTAACGAGGTTAGTGTTACAAACTCCCTTTGGAGGCATTACCTCTGATACCATATATGCACACATTAAAACTGCAGGAAGCTACATGCACATTAAACAAAATGAGAGGTGCCCACTATCCCCCAAAAACGAGAGAATGCTGCTATTAACACTTCTTACTTGGTGGCTGATCTCTCAAAAATTTTGGCAGCAAAATCTAGTATACACAGAGGGGATAAATTTTACTCAGTAGAGAAAAGTTTACTCCTGAACTGTAAAGAAAACACCTCAGAAGTTACTACATTAGAGTCCTAACTTTTGCTGATTGCCAATTAACTTCAGGTAGGGTATAATACAAATTCATAAAGGTTGGCCTGGACTTCAACATTTATTCTTGCAAACAAATGCTTACAGCATTTGTACCCCAGGGCAGAATTCTGGAAACTACCACAAAACTATTTTTATATCTCTCAGGTAGAGGACTAAGACTGAAGTAACTGAACATAACACTTTAAGCAAATAAGGGAATGAGTTACAGACTGCATATTGAAAGATGTCACATATTCCAAGCTTTGACACATAGGATTTAAGCATTACCACAACTAAATGCATCTAGAAACAGTGTCATAACATCCTACTGAGCATCACAGTCATATCTAAGTTTTGAGCAGAACCTCACTCATTAGTCTTGGATGTTTATTACACAGTCCCTGAAGTGGAGAACTTTAAAGGTGACCCTATTCTAGTTATAAGGCTCATCTGGTGCAGATCATTAAGCACACTGCAGCTCCCTAAAGAGCAATCCTTGTACGTACCAACGCTCCTTTTACTCGGGTCAAGAAATTCCAAGGAAAACGTCTGCCCAAATCCTGGGACTCTGATATCCACTCCGTCTGGTGGTTCTGTAATCTTACTTGTTCGATTATACACCAGCCTGGGGCAGGGGGGAAGAAAAAAAATAGAGAAAAAACCCATGAAACCTGTTGTATTTCCACATGAGACCTCTCAGCTGTACTGGGTCTCCCATTCTGAGAGCAGGACAAGAACTTCAAGTGCTTTTACTCAGAAGGAGGAAAAACACAACCCAGGCAGACACGATCAGAGTGCTCTAATGGCTAAGAGCTTATACAATGCAATCAATTATTTTAATTACTCAAATGCTTTACATTCAGAATCTAAGGCTTTTCTTCTCTGTAACACTGAGCATACGGAACTGTGGCTGAATTTCAGCATTAGAATATGAGCTACTTTGTACAGTTCTGTACCACTTGACTTTGCATCAAGCCACATAATAGAGAAAGCTTGTCAAGAGCACAAGAATGTGGCAGTAGGAGATAAAATACCTGTAAAATCAGGCATCAAAAGTATTCTCCTAGCTAAAAATAATTTCTGTTTAACTAGGAACACCTATACCAGCATAAGGGAATACTTTATTTCTTGACTAATTACTATTAGTATCTCAGGAAATGTATTGAGATATCAAGTGTTTTGTGAATACTTTTCAAATGACCTTGAGATATGAAGAATTTGGAGCATTAGGTCAGGATTTGGGGTTTTTTTTAATCACTATTATTATTATTATAGGTGGGGGTTTGTTTGTTTTTAATACTGTATCAATACAACTGCCATTTCTGAACACGAGTTTTTACCTTTCCATGGAGTCTCAGAATCTAAACTGACCTTCTCACAACAAAATTCTCTCTAATCTGTAAGGCATAGCAAGACAAAGCAGACTGTTCTACAACTCAGTACATTCACATCAAAGAGCAACATGCCAATTCAATCTTTTTAAAATGCACAAGCTAAATACTCCTTGTTTTTATAGTGATATTTGTACTATTTTTAGAAGAAGATCAATGAAGCAGACTGCATGATGAAATAGTCTGAAAGCTTAAAATTGGCAATTTTTTAAGCCAAAATAATTCTAGAAAGAGACTTCTAGGGCTGCCTGTAAAGGACCCTATCTGCTAATAACACCAAGGTTGTGGGTTCAGTCTCTGTATGGGCCAGAGATTGGACTTGATGATCCTTGTGGGTTCCTTCCAACTCAGAATATTCCATGAAACATGATCCAAACCAGTCATTTCCACGTGTCTTGTGGTAGAAATTGGTCTCAGCTGCCCAGGAGTCTGTTGCTAATGACACAGTGCCAGCAGAAGCTCAAGCTCACGTTCCTCCTGCCTGTTCCCTCTGAGCTGCCTGAGGCACCTCCTTCCCCCTGCCTCATCCAAACCTCAGGAATTCATCACAGAATGGGCAGGACCTGAAGAGACCAGTGGGTCATCTGCTCCACCCTCCCTGCTCAAGCAGGGGCTCCCTAAAGCACATGGCACATGGTTCTGGAATATCTCCAGTGAGGGAGGCTCCACTCCCTGTCTGGGTGATCTGTCCCAGTGCACAGTCACTGCACAGCAAAGTTCTTCCTCATGTTCAGGTGGAACTTCCCAGGTATCAATTTGCCCATTGCCTCTTGTCCTGTTGCTGGGCAGCATCGAGAAGAGTCTGGCTCCAAAAGGAGCAGAAAACATTCTCTTGAGGAAAGCCCACAAAGGTGCCTGAGAAGTGCTCAACCCACACTGGGTAACTGGTAGGAGAGAAAGTAGAAGCCAAGAGAACCTCTGCTCCCCATCAGTGATGAACAGCTGGCTCAGACACAACAGAGCCACACCTTCAGAGCCCTCCCGTTAGTCCCAGCAGAATTCCAAGCCATTTCTCTCACTAGTCTTGAATCAGAAAAGAGAGTTTAAGGCAGCCATTCTGCACATCAGCCTGAGGAAAGGCACTAACTGCAAAGAGCAATGTTTCTGGTCTTACCTGATGTTATCAATCCAGCAATCAATGATGACAGGCAGAAGCAATTCCAGATTCAGCCAGAGTGTAAAATAACTGTCTGTCTTCTTAGAGCAGAGATAGTGCACTACTGATGGCTTATCTAACTTCGCTTCCAACTGATTACCTAAGTCGCCTGGAACTGAAAAATATAAAAAGGAAAGAGGAAAATATAAAAGGGAGACTTAATTAAAGCAAATAACATTTTACATTGCAATATACATATCTAAATACTGTAGCCCTCATTTGCATCATCACTGCATCCAGAGACACTATAAAATTTTGTAACTGGAAAAAAAAATATTATATAAGAAGAAAGTACTACATGTACATTTTCCACTGAAAATATTTAGATTTTAAAGAATCAGTACCTGAGGAATCATTACATAGAATAATTCTGGATCAACAGTTCATAACTTCCAAGAGAGGACTATAAAGGAACATGTCACATTAGCCCATTGGTATGAAAAACAAAGATTGCCTTGGACATTACCAAAATTATCTGTGTTTTAAAGTACAAACAATCTTTCTGAAAGAACTTTTTCTTCAGTGTCACAACTGCATATAAAAGCCTTTGTTCTCTTTAAACAGTTGCCTGCAAACTATCAATTTGAGATTAAAAACATGAAACGTAAAAGATCCATTTATATTTTATCTTCCCTTCTTCACCTCCAACCACACTTTTGCAACACAAGATGTAGTTAGTTGGCTAACAATGTCAAAATACAGTTTCATATCTCTTACATGCAGGCTTGGATGCAACAACAGTATTGCTCCTCACTTTTTTCCTTTGTATGCATTACAACAGTAATACTTGGTCTTGTA